GATGATGACCGTTCGTTGTACATATTGATAATATCGAGGTTGTTTATTCCTACTGCATATCAACCATTACTTTGGTTTCTATAGAACTTCGGAAGTATTTCAATCCATTCCTACACATATTTTACTAGACGCCGTGATATGTTATTCATCTTGGTTATCACGTAGACGAAAAGCAACCGCAGTGAGAGAGATATGGGGTTTGGAATGATGCTGTCCATCCAAGCCTTCTATCAAGGAGCTTGGTCCTTGAGAAATTCGGTCACTCTAGTGTATGATAGTAAACTTTTGGCTCCGAAATCTGGCCATCACGGGAGTCATGTTACTGTCAAATTGTGCAAATTCTCAACCTTTTGCAGTTTGTAAACCATTAACAGACGTCACGGCTCTATACATTGTGATGCTATTGGACCTGGAGAGAAGCAGGGCGGATGTCACTCGTGACTACTAAAGGAAGTCGACTCTAGCTTCCAGACGTCGGGCCCAACAGCTTTTCTCTTGCGTACCATGCATGGGTCCCTGAAGAGACCATATGGCTCCGAGGGATTGCTGGGTTTATCAAGGTTTCAAGCATGAACAAGCACCGGACTCCGAATCGCATATTGGGGGAAATGTAATTAAGCTCGGTTTTTTGGGCTCTTAGGCATCGTGAAGCACGTAGTAGTATCCTTGGCGGCCTAATGTCTTTCATGCTTCGCGTTGGAAATGGTAGAAGTCGTTATATCAAGATAAGATTTCATAGGCTCAGCCAAGAGCTTGTGGGTTATCGCCGGCGCAGAAGCGGCATGATTCAACACAGAGTACTCGGTGCAGCTTGTTCAACGACTTTATAGGAGATCTTAGAGAGATAGGATAGTATTCTATCACAACCGGGGGGCTCGGTGAAGAGCGCCACGGTTCATCAAACTTCCCAACAAACGTGACAGAGATAGAAGCGGTGTAGACGTATAGACATTCGTCTTTCACTCCAGAAGTGGCAAGGATGGCGACCTTCAAATTCTTCAGCAAGCCTTGATAATATATCTGTATGATGTGTTACATACCCTAAGACACTGGCCACAGTAATGGGGGCTTCGGTCGGTGCCGCAACGAGGTGGGGTGCTAGGAGATGTGCTGTTGGCTGTGTGTCCATCGTCACGTTTCATGATTGAGCACTCAGCAGCTTCTTCGTCGTGCTGCTCAGTTCTCTGCCTGTGCCGCCGCTGCTCTTGGGCAAGCGCGATTAATATTCCCATTATATATGGATCTTCGACAGTATTTTCTGGCTGAAGAGATCGCAGCTTTTTATCACATGTCCTAAACACGGGCTCATTGAATCCCTTTCCCGGTGAGTTGTGTACGAACTTGCTCCGACGGTATTATATTCCATCGAATGTGACATAGGCGAGAGATGGGCCAGTGGAGTTGCGGGAGAATACGCCCTCTGTCCAAACACTCGCGACAGGCTGCAGGCGGAAGTAGAAAGACAAAGATTCATAGCTGTGGTGGCTGTTAGCAAGGTCGGTCGAGGGCAGGCATCAAAGTCAACTGCCTGAGACGGGAGAAACCATAGGCGCCAACTATTTCTTTGATAGCCGTTTTCTTGACCTCCAACGTCCTTCGCCCTGCAAACTGCAACATTGCACGACGAAGGTCTGCAGGCAGATTTGGTTTTTGAAGATCGTGAACGGGCGAATCCGATAACATGACTTGCTAGTGTGGGCGATTCTTCCTTTTGCTGGTCTTCAGACTGAACCCGCAACCCAAGAGCCGTAGATGTCTCATAGTCCAGGCTACCGGAGGGACATAGAGGCGGTCTCGACTGTTATCGCGTAGAATTGAATCAATCGAATTGGGCTCGATTGACCATCTTATCGTTGGTTGCGGCCTGAAGTGACCGCGAGGCCGTACAGAAGGACACTGGGGATCGTCAATGGCCTTGCGCTTGAGTGTATCTGACATATCGTAGCATGATTTCATTGTAAACCCTAGCCAATTTAAGGGATGTGCTGGCCGCCTGCGAGTTAACCCAAAATTGAAGTAGGTTTGACGCGTCAGTAATAAAAGGCGTCTGGAAGCCAGGCCCAAATGTCACGGGGTCACGTGCATAGATACTATAGATCCAATGGCACTTAATTTGATACTATTGATCGATTAGCAAAGGTATGTATGTCAAATTGTGTTATAGTGGGTTCCTCGTTGCCAGGACAATTACATTCTTGTGTTCTGTCCACTTCAGATTTGGAGTGGACTACACTGTATACATAGACGCCACGAATAAGACAGCACAAAGTGACCTCGCTGCAAATGAAGACAATTACAACTTCCAGAACCATATACATAGTACGACGTTGTTCAACCTTAAAATACCCACTGGCAGAAAATCTACCCTATGTCATATCATGGCGCATATCAAATGGCAAGACAGGCGGGACATTGTCTTCTGACTTGAAGATATATGTGACCAAGATGAACTCGGGGATGGTGACGATACCTCTAGCCACTGTAGAGGTTACTTCTAGCTATAGTGAGGTTTTTCTAGAATTTTAGCACACCGTTAAAGACCCTGTTACTCGGAGCTTCTGATATGTTACAATTAAAACCCTGCGACAAAGCTTAGATGAGAATAATGATTCTTGGGACGACCCTCACATATCCAATGTGTATGTTGTTGTTGTTGCAGTATAGCGACGAGGAAGCAAAACTTGGGAATTTCATGATATCCACGTCCAAGTATCCTGTTAGAGAGCTACAGAGCTCTAGTTGTGACTCTAACGGCACATACTTGAACGCTCGAATGATATCTCGTAGTTAACCAGCGCTGGCTGCACTCATGATCGATGAGGAAACGGACGGAGTAGGCAGATCACCTGCCTATCTATTCACCCCTATTGAAAACTCTGCCTGTTAATTCAGCAGTTCTGTAATTAGGATCTTATCCTTATTGTGCCGTGTCGGCTCTCGTTGAAAGCAGTATTCACAACCGGATGCTCTCTAGAGATGCTGCAGCCTGCAGAATACCGCAAGACTCAAAATCGCTAGAAGGAAACTTTGCTGCGAGTAAAAGTATTCTTAGCGTTACCTTGGCTGGATTATCACTGCAAGAAAATCGTTTAGTTGTCTCACCATTGCTGTTTCACCAAACCAACAATCTCAAGCCATCCAAAATATGGGCATTTCCCCTTTATAACATCAATCACCCCATACACGTCCATCATTCCCATCAAAGATAAGACTAAAACATATCCAAAATAGTCCAGTCTCACCAGAGCGATCACCCTGAAACTGCACATCGCGTTCATCTTCTAGAACCGCCGTTGCTAAGTATAGCAAGAGCCGCCCGAACCCAATAATGAGAACCCACCACGAGGCCCAAAAAAGAGCCTTCACTCAACCCAGGTACTTAAAACATCCTTATTCCCACAACACTCTAGCTCCAAACATAGCTAATTTCCCATTGACAATCACCATCACACTAATCGAGGAAGCAGCACTTCAAAATTGGTGAAAGGAAAAGAAACATGGCACTTTGCGCACAAGCCAAGAACGGCCAGAACCGCAACCACACCAAGAACAAGCTAGCTGCCACCAAAGAACTGGGTGATAAACATGAGATTAGATCTTCCCAAATACAATCGTTGAGCATCCCAGTCTAGATCCCACACTATCCCAATCCAGGCATATCTCCGAGCACGACACGAGACGAGAGGAGGTGCATGCATGCATCTAGACGCACGGTACCCAACCCAGCACTCAGGATCAAAGTATCTTATCCCCCTCCTCTTCATCCTGCAAGATAGATACCACACATCCATCGTGCGTTTGCTAAAATGGAACAAGCAAAATCACATGTACCGTTCGGTCCGAGGAACAACCTCATGTTCCTGTTTCCCCTCTCCCGCTTTCCCTCCGCCACAGTAAAATAGATTAACTGGTTCCTGCTCCTGCGGGAGGCACCACGCCGCTATTGGGCCACGCCGGGGGTGATCGACAGTTTAGTGAGCCCTAAGATGCGGGGTGTTGAATGTTGATATTAAACGGTGGCGTAGCGTAGCATACACTAGTTACTAGACATCAGAGCGCTAGAGCTTATCCTTTCCTTGCTCGGTTCACATGTAGGTCAGATTCTCCCTAACTAGGAACACAATTATCCTCGGAGGTAGCATTTGGCATGGTGGCCAACAAACCCGCTCTCCCTCTCTCTTCCAAGGCAAGGGATCTCGAACATCTTCTAAGTACTAGTACTACATAGTACTAGTCAGTCTCGCTCAATTCTCTCGCTCAATTCTGGGGCCCGATAAGTAAGCCCAGAAATACTACTAATAACCCCCCTATAATAGTATAAAGCGACAGTCCATATAATTAAGCACACAACAGTAACTCTCCTGATACCCCCTACCAATTCATAATCAATTCAATTCCAAATCTAACCCATCGAATCCGAAACCAAACACCAAAAATCAAAATGAATCTCAAACACCTCCTTCTCTTCAGCACCACCCTCGCCCCAATCTCCCTAACCCTCGCTAATCCCAACCCCAACCCGGTCGGCCCCCGAAGCCCCCAATCCACAGGCCTACTATCCGACCTCCCGTCCCTCATCGACAACCTTAAGGAACTCCTCAGTCAAGACACAGTCGACAACCTGGAAACGATCGTCAAGGGGGCAGCAGTGCTACTGGGCGGCGATACGCCGCAGAACTTGCAAAAGTTGTTGTCGAGTAGCAATATCGACAAGTTGCAGAATATCATCGATAATGCAGATTTGCTGTTGACGACGTCGTTTGTTAATGAGACGAGTGAGTTGATTGGGGATGCGTTGCCGGTAAGCTTCTATTCTTCCTTCAGAATGTACTACGTGAGAGAGTGTAACGCTGATGAATGTGGTATAGTTGGTCACTGATGTATCGGCATTATTGACGGCTATTATGAAGACTGCGTGATGTGCAAATAGTAGTATATAGGATATAGTAAACTGAATGAGAATGATGATAATGATATTATTGCTTTAATTGCTCCTAATACTCCAAATCACTAGCCCAAACCATAGCAAAAACCTAACTATCCTAGCCAACTAAATAAAACAAAGAAAAAGAAAAGCTAGCTAAGCATTCAACTTCGCCTTCAACTCCCCCAAATAATACCTCAACGGATACCCTCTCATGGACGCAGGCAACGCCGGATACACCGCGACCGAGAACCCCATCGTCCCGCGATACAAGCCTCTCGTCTTAGCCGACGACTTGAGCCCATACGCTTCGCGAATCCGAGGCGGGAGCATCTCGATCGTAATGACCCTCAGCAAGGGTTTCACGGTCGAAACCCAGCGAGGGAAATCCGTCCGATTCAGAAGATCCTTCGCGAAGAGATGCGCATCCCCGCTGACATTCAACCGCTCGATCTGGTCATCCCAGTACGTCCAGAACGCCTGACGAGTGGGCGGCCAGACGTCCTTGGCGATGTTGAGACAGGACAAAATCGTAGTAAACTCAATGTAGGCTTTCTCGGCAGTGCGGTAATCAACGCGGCCGTAGATGCGCTGGTAGAAGTCGGTAGCGGTTGCGTAGAGGGTGGCTGTGAGCCAGAGCTGGATGTAGGGGTCGCAGGGGAGTTTGGTGGGGAGAGGGGCGTTGTCTTTTTGGAGGAGGTCGAGGAGGAGTTTCTTCTCCTCTTTGGTGCCAAAGACGAGACAGGCGATGTAGCTGAGGGCAGTTTGAAGGGTGTTGCTAAGGTCGTTGGCGAGGTTGCTGTCGTTACTGGTGTTGGCTGGGGTGATAGTTTCGGTCTTGGTTTTGTTGGCTTCCTCAAAGGCAGATTTGATGTTGGGGTAGGCCGCTTGGAGGAGGAGAGCGGCGCCGGAGCCGGCGAAGAGGATGCCTTCTTGGAGGATTTGAGGGAGGATTTCGAGCTTATCGAGGGCTTCGAGATGGTTGGTGGTCACGGTGGTGGTTTGGGAGGAGACCGGAGAGATGCGGTCTGATGCTGCGGCGGCGGCTTTTTCGTCCATTTTGCGTGAGTTGGTTGTTTGATTAGGGGGATGGGTGGTAGTCAGTAGCTGCGTGGTTTACTACTTTGGTCTGACAGGTTTAAATCAAATTGGTGGTTAATGGCCTCCGCTGATAAAAAGCAGCTCGATGCACATGCCGGTGCAGCAGCATTGCAGGGGGGTACGAGAATATACGGGCACAGGCACATCCGCGGCCTGCAAGCGAGAAAGCATATCAATCATCGATCCTGCGAATTGATAGACCAACAAACCTCTCACAGCAGGGTATCAGTTGACCAAGGATTTACTTTGCAAAGGACTGCGGATAAGCATCCCCGCATCCCCATCGGGCAAAGAGTCCGACGTCCCCAGAAGGCAGTGGATCATTCCCCCGTTTCAACCCAAATTCGAGCGATGCCCTAAAAGCGGCCACCAAAACCGGGCTCCAAAAACAACGTTCAACCGCGGTTCTCAATAGTCGGGCGGATCGTCGCCCTGACCAGGCCGCATGTGAACCCAATCCATGGGTCATCATTGGGCCTGCAATTTCCCACTTACACTGATCGACGGGTTCCGGGACGATCCTTGCGGAGAGATGGCAGGGGCTTGAGGGTTGCATTCCGAGGGCGGCAGGTGTATACGAGAATCACGACGATAGCGAAGTTTTTTAACTAGTCGGTGGATTTGCCAATGACTCCATACTATCAGCCGTTAGTATATCAGATCAAGCACCCCGGTTCCCGCCCCTCTTCGCCGGCGACCGTCCCAGCAGCAAGGGCCACATCACCATGGACGAGAAGAAAACCTATCTCACCTCCAAAGAGGCCAAATATGCCCTGGGTATCCATCGTGGTCCTCTGCCCACTGAAGGCCTGGAGATTGAACATGTTGAGACGGCCCATTCCATCTCCTTGGAGCCGGTGAAGCGTACGCGATCGCAGACTCTGCGTCGCCATTGGGCTCGGTTCTGGTGCTGCTATGCATTTTGGGGCATTATCTTCCTGGCGATTTTTCTGCCCATTTTGTATGCTTCCCCTCTTTCTAATTCGTCTTCATCCTATTTTGGGCGACAACTGACGATTTATCAGCTTTTGCTTGATTATTCCCGCCATTGCCCAGCGAGTCCTGGACAATGGTACTTTTGTCCTCGTTCACGCCGACGTGCTCCAACCACGCCCCAACTCCATCCAGCTCAGCATCAATTCTGCCCTGGACTTGCCCATCAGCTTCCCTGTGCGCATGAACAACTTAACGCTCTCTCTCTTCAATCGCTTTCTCCCGGAGAACAACACCTGGGCAAAGCTGTACATGGACGGCGCTACAATCAATGGGAACACAACCCTCACCGTGGATGACCAATTCACACCCTTGGATGTCTATCAATGGACACAATATGTTCGCAGTGTGGTCTTCGAGCCTCATGCTCCATTGTCCGTCAAGGCTCCCGTCACTGCTTACATTGGGAAGCTGAAGTCCAAGATCACATTGAACAAGGACATTAAGCAAAACAGTGCGTCTCCTACTCCTCCCATATATTTATCAGCTGCTAATTCCATATTTCAACATGACAGCCATGAACTCCTTTGCTGGCTTTTCCATCTCCGATCCAAAACTTCTTCTTCCTGCTGAATCCGACGGTACCAACCTGATCGCCAACGCCACTCTCCCCAACCCGTCCGTGATGACTCTTGAAATCGTGAGTTTTCCTATAGGTTTATGCACTGCAGCCAACTCTAACCGAAGTCAGGGCAACACCACCATGAATCTCCTCAGCGGCAACCTCACCCTCGGAAATTGCACTCTCAACAACCTCGTGCTTAGACCAGGCAACCACTCCTCACCAGTACGAGGGATTTTGGATCTCGGCAAACTCATCGAGAACATCGGCCCTATACTAAGTGAACAAAGCGACTCCATAAAAGAAGGCTACTTGAGTCTCACGACCGTCGGTGCGAACGTCGAGTACGAGGGCGTTCAGGTCCCGTACTACACGGAGGTCATGAAGAATCTGACCATGACGGCGAAAGTGCCGCTAGGGTCGCTGATCAGCAACACCCTAAGTGGCATCTTGCATCCCAATGGGACCAATGTCTTCGCGGGGCTAAACATGACTACTGATAGTGGGGAGACGTTTACAGTTGGTGAGGACAAGGCGGATAGTGATGGGGCATCGTTGGGGCGAAGGGCATTGGAGATGTTGGGGCAAGAGGAGAAGAGGAATGAAGTGGTCGATGTCTTGAAGGCTTTGATGAAGAGGGGAGCTTACGAGATATGATACTAAATTTCAGTGTTTGATTTGGGCGATGGCGCTGGCGTTGTCTATAGTACATCCTGTTGATACTCTTATTGTTAATGTATACCTGAGCTGGGTTTGGGGTCATGAGGGGGGGGATTTTTACCAATTAGCAGACTTATTCATTGAATTATACCCAAAGTATTACTTGCATCCAACGAATCAATGTCCATTATATAAGAAAGATCCTCACAGACCCTTGCATCTTTCCCCTACCCCCCTGATCATTCAGATGCAAGACACACCCGCAAGGGCATGCATCACCAACCAAACCGTCCCATGACCTCACCCCCCCATCCCTGTCTTCAACCATCCCCTCCTCCCTCCCTCCCAAACCATCACTCACTCCAACAACCCACCCAATAATGACACCACACAGCCTGAATGTCGCCATAATCGGCAGCGGCCTCGCCGGCTGTCTCGCCGCCCGCATCCTCCGCGAGCAACATACCGTGACCATCTACGAGCGCGAAGCCGCCAAAGCCGAGGCCGGGGCCGCCATCAACCTCGGCCCCAATGCCGTGCACATCCTCAACAGTGTAGACTTTGATCGACGCCGCGCGTGCTCCATCCCAGTAACTCGGGTTCTGTCGTACAACAAGCAAGGCGAGCTCACGCGCGAATCCATCCACGATTACGTCCAGGAGTTCGGGACAGACTGGTTATTTCATCATCGGGTGGATCTGCGAGATGAGCTTTTGCGGTTAGCTACGGCGCCGTCGGAAGAGTTGGGGTTGAGTGGTGAACCGGCGACAGTGCGTTTTGGGGCGAGGGTTGTAGATGGGGATGTTGATGAGGGGAAATTGATATTGGAGGATGGGGGGGTGGTGGAGGCAGATCTCGTTATTGGTTCGTTCTATGCTTCTTTTTTACTCTGGTCTAATTGGTGTTGAACAATATCTTTGTTGCAATACTAACAATGAACAGCCGCGGACGGCATCCGATCCATCATGCGCGGCCCCGTAGTCAACGACGACGCATACATCATCGCTCAACCATCGGGCTCCTCTGCATTTCGGTTCACCATGTCCCGGGAGAAGGTCATCGAGTTGCACAATGGAGAAGTACCCGAGATAATGAGCCCAAATAAACCAGGCACTTTGTTGGGTGTATACGCCCTCGACCCTACGGAGCGGCGAGTGATCATGTATCCATGTCGGAACTACGAGATCCTCAACTTCGCTGTGCTCGCACCAGACAATATGCTCAAGACCCCAGCGTCATCCGACTCGTGGTCTGCGCCAGGTAACAGAGACGAGATGATCTCGCTGTTTACGGACTTTCCGGGCTGGGTACTTAAGTATTTCCGGTATTGCCCTCTTTTCCCCTTGATACGCTATATGTTGTGCGCTAACATGTAGGTAATGGCTACAGCGCAGCAGAAAACATTAAGCTCTGGCAACTCCGCATGCAGGACCCCTTACCCACGTATATCCGAGGAAGAACGGTCCTGATCGGCGATGCTGCGCACGCCATGACGCCTCATCAGGGACAGGGAGGATGCCAGGCCATTGAAGATGCAGAGGGATTTCGACTTTTTATTGGAGACCATGTCACAAGGGAGAATGTTCCTACTATCCTGGAGGACTTTGATCGTGTGCGCAGGCCGCGGGCGTCGCAGATCCAGTTGAATACTTCGCAAGCTACGGCGAGGCACTCGGCGAAGGAGATTTATCGGTTCCGAAAGTTCAATTTCACCTATCATGGAATTTTTGAGGAGTTGAGGAGGATCAAGAAGAGCGATAAGGTGGATCAATTGGATCATAGTGGGGGAGAGGATGTCAAGAGAGAGTCTGACGTACATTCTGCTGTTGGATCATGTCGCTGTAGACAATGCCAAACAGACAGCTAGTTTAGTATCACATGAATATATTGGCTAAAGTGGATGCCCAGACATCAACTTCGGTTGTGTAGTGTAATGGTTATCACTCTGGATTCTGATTCCAGCAATCCCGGTTCGATCCCGGGCACGACCTTTTCTTTTTCCTTTTGTCTTTCCATATTATTACTACTGACTCGATCATAGTCATAAATGATATTAAGGGAACTTCCTAATTCCTGGCAAGGTGGTTGCATTTTGCTTGACTACATCCAGTTTGGCTTTTTGTTCCCATTTTGGACGCCTTAAAAACACATTCAATGTGTATGCTATACAACTCTTCGCTGGCAATGCAAGTAACCTATTTTTTTCACTACAGATTGCAAGAATTACATATATTATCATTGTAATGTTGCAGTGCGTTAGGGTTTGTATAGCTTCGCTTGTTATTGCTTCCTGAATTCACCAGCATGCGTGGCGAATCACACCGTCCTGTGGATGCGTGAATCCGGCAATATAGCAGCAACCAAATTCACGGGTGCATTTGGAATATTGCACAGTGAAGTCGTCACTTCCCTTATAAGATTGAATATTGTATCTCACTTTTCTTGATTTACTGCTAACTGTGCACTTCGCTTAAGATAGGGTATCAACATGATGATGCTATATTCACGAAGAAGCATTGAATGACGGCTCACGTGAGAAGCAATATATAAACCTGGTGCCAACCCTTTTCTCTCCTTCTCTTCTCCCAATTTCCAGGCAGCTACTAGTATTACTACTATCATTACTACATTATATTATACTATCAATTTTTATATAGCACTATGCTTAAATATATCTTTTAAGTTCCCCTGTTGAAGCATTCGAGTCAGTCCATCTGCTGAATGGCCATACATATATCGTTTT